TGTGTGTCCGGGGCGCTCCTGCCGTCCCTGTGAATATCCTTAGGTCAGAGCTCTGTTTCTGCACCGTGGGGATCCCCGCCGTCATGTCGGAGCTGATTTTGAGTAAGTTTGCGGTTTGGTTTTTTGTCTGCTGGAGCTCCCCGCGTTGTCTAGCTGAGGGATGGAGAGGGGGTGGGTGAGGTACTGGGACAAAGGGGCCCGGAGGGGTTGGCAGCAGTGCCCCGGCCACGTTTCTCCATCGTGACGTTGGTTCCTCTCTCTCATCTGCACTTGGGTCTCCCCAGCCGGGATCAGGAAGGACAGAGATCGGAGTGGCCGCAGTGTCCTCTGCGTCCCTGTGGGAATGACTTCTGGGATGGTGGGGAGGGGTTTGGACGTGCGGGCTAAGGAACCTGGGAGACAGAGGTCCCTGACCTGGGCGGGGTGGAGCTGTGGCCGGTGGACCCTTCCTGACCTCCTGGTCTTGGTGCTCCCCTTAGCCAGTGGTCTTCAGTCATGTCCAAGGACACACTGACGACCTAGAGCGGTGGGGAGACCCGACAGGGAGGGCAGACTATTCCTGGTTATTGAACAGTCTCTGGCACTGGCCGTGGGAACACCGAGGGGCTGTCTGTGTGGTTACGACCCGTCTTCTCCTCGGGGCGTTGAGCACCGGGTGGATGTCAGCATCTTAGCCGACTGAGTGATCAGTCATCGCTGTCACCAGGCCACCCAGTGGCTCCGTCCAGATCAGCTCTGCCCTCGACCCACCCTCGGTGTTTTGTGTCCGGTTACTGGTGCTGCATTCCACGCGGGTGTCCTCAGTGACAGCTCCTCCTGGCCTGGGAGGTGATCGGGAAGTGAGAAAGCACACGCGGCCCCACTGAGCGTGTCGGCGGCTCTTTCCTCAATGGATCTGTTAAAGCTGGTTCCGTGCAGAGTGAGCTCAGACAGCCGGTGTCCTCGCTGTCTGTGGGCCGGCCTTTGTTCATCGGGTCTGCACCTCCCGCCCCTGTGAGCTCTGAGTGTGGGGCCTGTTACTGCGGAATGAAGAGACCACCTCCTTCCTTCCTTCCTTCCTTCCTTCCTTCCTTCCTTCCTTCCTTCCTTCCTTCC